CCTTTCCAACCCATATGATTATATGAATAAAAAACTGAACGTGATAGTTTACTGGATTGCATCATTACTAATGACAAAATGTGGTGTCACCTCTACAAGCCAAAATGGCTGAATTGGCAAAATGGGAATTCCCTTTGAAGAAAAGGCTCCAGATCCAGATGATTCAGCCCTCAGCAGTTAAAGATATGTGCACTGTCTTTCGGGATAGGAAAGGGGTGATCCTTCTGGACTACCTGGAACCCAAACAAACCATAACCTCCGACAGCTATGTAACACTGATTAAGCTGAAGGCTCAAAATTCGAGTCAGGTCAGAGAAGAACCTTTTCCTCTGTAACACGATAACCTCAGGCTCCATGCCAGTTTGAAGACCATGGAGTATGTTGCCAATCTTATCTGGATTGTCATACCAGACTCATCATACAGACATGCTTTGGGGCCTTTTGACTTTCAGGATGATGAAAGATGGACTGCGTGGGCAACATTTTCCTCAAAACGATGCTGTTATAAAGCTGTGAAAATGTAGGTCACCTCCACTGGTGTAGATTTTTACCAGCACAGCATGCAGGCTCTTGTTCACCACAGGTGAAAATGCATAGCTAATGGCAGTGACTATGTTGAAAAAGCAGTGTTTTGTAGCAGAGAATGTGCTCCATTTAATAATGTTATTGTGCTCTTTGTATCTGTTGTAGTTCACTAAGAAATAAATAGGAGCCACTACATTCAGAGTGACCTATGTAATTTAAAGTTTTCTAATTATTCAAGACAGTTACAATAAATGATTTCTTCATGATCTTAGTCTTTTTCTGCATTAGGGCAGAAAGAGACATATGAATGCTAGATTTTTCAGTTTGGCCTACAGCTTCCATCTGGAATTGATTGCAGGCTTTTGCAGGTGCAATCACTTTGGAGTTACAAGCAATTTGAAGGCAGATGTGCTGGCATTTAGACAACTAACTGCTTGACTTGTAGGTAAAATCTGGAACTGTCTATCCAGAGGTAATCACTTGCACATTATTTGCTTGAAGGTATAAAATCTGAGAACTTCTAATTGTTTCTTTAAAAGAATTGTCTGGTTTCCCTCAAAAACTTTAGTTGTTCTGGTAAGTCATACTCTATTCTAAAAAGTTAGAATGGAACTCATCTAGTATTCAAGAAATTTAGTTTACGTATGAACAAAGAACCCCTATGTGATCAAGTTCATCCTTACTTGCTGGTACATTTTTAATCAGTGCCCACCTCAGTGAGTTTAAAGCAACACCTCATAATGGTAATTACAATTCTGGATCACACTATATCTTTTTTCTATATCTTACATATCATTTATATGTATAAAAATATATATGGCTTTCCATCTTAATAATAAATTAATATATTTGCAAGATTCAGTTCACAGCTGAAGACTATCAAAACAAAACAACTACAGAGATATGCAGATATCCAAAAAAGAGCATCTGCTTGGATTTACCACTAGCATTTTGTTTTTAATGCATAGACAACCATAAATGACCATTTATGATCATACATAAACCAATACAAGAAACTGATAACACTGAGAGTGCATTAAAAAGCACTGCATCTTTAAGATGTAATTACTCCTTTTGTCTGTTCCTATCACCTCTTCAAATCCAGTGCTAGGCTCCCCAGCACTCAAAAGATGTGTAGTGGAGTGTATCCAGCAAAGCTCCATTATGATTAAAGTACTATAGCATCTCTTGTAAGAGTAGAGCTTGGTTTGTTGTGCCTGCAATAGAAAAGATTCTGGAGTTATCATCACCACTTACAACTATCTGATGGAAGGGAATAAAGAGAACAAAGCTGGATAAACTCTCCACAGTGGTGCCCAGTGTCAGGACTAGAGGAAAATGAAACAAAGGAGCTTCTCTCTGAACATGAGGAAGTTTTTGTTTTGTTTTTTTTTTTTTCTTTTTACTGTGAAGGTGACTGAACACAAGAAGAGGCTGCTCAGAAACATCGTGGAATCTTCATCCTCTTAAGTATAAAAAATGTGATTGGGGATAGCCCTGGCCAACTTGTTCTAGCTGACCCTGCTCAGTGGACTGAACAAAATCCCAGAAGTGCTGCTGGAAACCTACTCAATGACTCTGTGAGCACGTGGTTGTGGCTTCTCCCTGTTCCTGTGTGCAACTCCACACATCACACATCAACAGTCTAATCACTAACTACCAACAGCCTCTTGCTGCTGCAGTTCTTCCATCCTCTGTTATATTCCGCTATGCTCTTGGCTCCTGACCTGGCACACAAGATGTCCACCTCCACTGCCTGAGCCTATTTAATAAGCTGTATGTATAAAGCAGAAAGACGTTTGAGATGTCTGTAAGATATTACAACTAAAATGAAAGATCCACAAGCTCATGGGCCCAAGTAAACACTGTTCATTCTTCACAGTATTTTCATATTGCACATTTAGCCTATGAGCTTGCTCTGACATTTACCCCAAGCTTGTTCACAAATAAAACTTTCAATCAAGCTGTTTTCTGAACCTGGCTCAGAAGACAGGCAGTAGAGGTTAAAATCCGAACTGTGCTTTTACTCAACTTGAAAATGGAATGCTAGAGGCCGTTGCCATGCCTGCTCCCTCAACATGGGACAAGTTCATCAAAATGGGACAAGTTCACCAAAACTAATACCACAGATGGGATAGGCTATACCCATACACAACATAAAATGTATGTATATAGAGACATAAAATATATGCATATATTTCATATGTCTATGATCCATGTAGTGGGATATCTCCCATATTGATCCCTTACGTTCTTGTTGCGATCTCTGCTTAGAATTCTCCAAATCATCAAAAACTGGAAAATTCTTGGGAACTGCATAGCAAAAAGCAGACATCTGCGCCTGTTTAGCAAGCATTCTGAAGATTATACAGTTTAGATTTAAATGACTCATTCTTCTTCTACCTCACACCAACATGGAAAACAAAATCAATTCTTTGACTTGTGTCTTGGTTAAAATAATATCCTGCTGAGAATGCACCTTTAAAATGGACTTTTAACTAATTCTCAAACACAACTTAACAAACAGAAAAGCACCAAGAGTACAGCTCTCTCGACCTTCTCAAACAGAGAAAGTGTTCTTCGCAGGGGAAAAAGTGATGAAAAAACCTTGTTTTTCATGGCAAACAAAACATGGCAAACAGTAATTAGAGAAGCAAATGATTATTTGCTATTGATATCACTCACCCTCATGCCCTGTGAAGTGCTTTTGGCACCATGAACCACATGACTTGAACTCTCTAAAATGTGGTGAAGTCCTCCAGCGAGCATTTATTTTGCTATCTCCATGACCTCTCACCATTGCGGTGGTACCTAAGGCAGTGCTGGGAAATGAGTGGGTCACTTCTTTCAGATTTTGTCCTAACTGTGGGATACTACAATTCTTTTCTGATCCTGTTTGGAGGAGCTGGTGTTTGGTTCACTTCAAAGGTTGAATCAGATTACAAGATAAGTGGATATCTCTGCAGTGAAAAGAACTCCAGAAACTGCTGCCAGTTTAGATGAAAATGGAGGGGCATGAGGATGGCTGTGTTAAAAGGAGGAAGAGGAGAGAAAGTGAGAGCAATATCACATCCTCTGGCACTCTTGGAAGTCTATTTGGGAGAGCATCCAGCGCTCCCTGTACCACACAACTCTCCTCTTTTCCCTCATTAAAAAACAATGCAAAGCTTAGCTCTTACAAAATGTGAGCACTTTATCTTCTAAACATTTACAGTTTCGTATCTTGCAGGAGTTCAATCTCTGGTAATTTAGATGAATTACAATGTGCACGTTGGGGTTAAAACTGCAAGATTTTCACTGATTACAAGAAAACAGCCAGTTATTAAGTCCTAACTGAGTAATTTGCAGCTTATTTCACCCTGGCTAATTAAAACGTAATCACTATTGTTTGGCAATGTGCATTCTGTCAGCAGTTTTAAGTCAGAAAAGAAATCACGCCAAGAAAACACACGCACATACAAAGAAAAAGCCTTTCACCAGGAACTGGCTTGATCTAAACTGCCTCGTTAGCGCTTCGTTAGCCACTGAAACTGTAAAACAAGTAAGTTACAATCTCCTGACAACGCAATAACCGCTCCCGAGATAATGAACTATTTTAACGAGCCCTTCGCTTCCAACAGATGCCGCGAAGCGGGGCCGGCGCTGACAGCGAGCCCTTCGCCGCTCCGGACCCGGCGGAGCTGCGGCGGAGCCTCAGCCTGGGGAGCGTCCCCGCTCCGCCCAGCTGGGAGCCAGCCACACGGAGCACGTTAAGCTTTTCTTCCACGCTTTTTCTTTTCTACTCTCGGCTTACCCTTCAGTACCTCGGCCTTTGTGCCAACATCTTAAAGCTAGTTTACACCCAAAACGTTGGGTTCCGGTTTCTGATTCAAGGAGAGGCACGGGGAAGGCGAGGAGTGCGTTGTATGTAGGGCTGCGCTACCCCGAGGTGAAGAGGCTGCGATTCCCAACCGGCTAAAAGAACCCTTCCCAACAGGGAGCTGGCTACTACCGAGCGAGCAGCTCCGGCAGGTCTGAGGGCTTCCGTCATTCCATTGGCTCAAATGTTTGCATCGCTTAGAACAGGTGAGGAGGTAGGAAGGGAAAGGCGTTTGTTGGATGGGGAAGAACAGGCAGGCACTCACCTCCCGTAGTCGCTTGAGGAGCTTTCAAGGCACTCCCCCTCCCCACTCCCATTCCGTTAGCCAGAAGCACTCCCGTTTGTTCCAGGGACACCTGCGAGGAGCCGGAGCGCCCGGCCCGCATCCCGCCGCCCCGAGGGCAGCTGACACGCGCGTGCCGTGCCGGGAGCGCGAGCGGCCAGAAGAGCCGCTGCCTCCTCCCAGCGACGGTGGGGCCGTGCCCACCTGCCCGCCGCCGTCCCACGGAAAGCCATCCCGAAGTTTACCCCGGAGAGCTCCGGCCCCCGCAATCCTTAAGGCCGCGCCGGGCGGGCAGCGGGGGCCGAGCGTCCCCGCGCGGCGCCGTGCCCCTACCTGGAAATGCTTGAAGAAGGCGGAGATGCGGGTGATCTGCAGGCTTAGGCACCTGGAGGCGCATCTGGCGGCGGAGAACGCCTCGTCCTGCCTGCGGGCAGCGGCGGCACCCGGGCTGGCGGGGCTGCCGCTGACGGCCGTCACCCAGAGGAGCAGGGCGAGGGACGCCCCGGGCGCCCTCCGCACCATCGCTCCGCGGGAGGAGAGGGCAGAAAGGCGGCCGGGCGCTGCGGGCTGAGCTGCTGTTCGCCGGGCGGGTGCTGGGCTGTACTGGGGGCAGACGGCTCCGCGCCGCAGAAACTAAACAAGAAAGTTCAATCATTCAACTCTCCTCACCCCCTTCTCTCCCTCCCCTCGTCCCACAGCCCTCCCCCGCTCGGCGGCGGGCGGGCCGAGGCTGACAGCGGCCGCGCCATTGGCTGCGCCGAGCGGCAGCGCCGGGGCGGGCGGGCGGTGTGGCCGCGGGCAGGTCGGCCGCTGGGAGAGGCGTTCCTGCTGCGCGCCGCCACCTGTGGGCACCCGACGGGCAGGAGCCGCGCGCCGCGCCCTTACACGAACGCAGTAACACGCGTAGGGGCCGGGGGTGACACCCGCTCGTGCTGCCCGGCCGCTGGGGAGCGATCCGTAGCAGCGCGCCGCTGCTCGGCCAAGCCCCGGCCCTCCTTCTGTTACATCCAGGAACGGGCAAGGGCGTTATGAAATGACTTTTTGAAGCGCAGTGCGCTTATAGGGAACGTGGTGAGCGTTTGTCCCGAGGTGGAAGCTGTAAAGGCTTTCCTGAAGGGAATTATTAAAGAATGTAAGTGTACAAGTCATCATTCCGACACCTCTGGGTAACAGCTGCTAAGTTAAAATACCGTCTACGGCTTTAAAATGGCTCCCGCACAGTACGCGGCAACTCAGGTCTCTTCTGCTCCCTCAGCTCCTGCGTGCGGTGGTATGTAGCACAGAGGTTACACGCTGCATTCCTCCCTGCACGTACAATGCGCGGACTCCTCCCGCTGCAAGTATGTGCTGCGAGAGAGCAACGGGGTCTGCTAGCACTGCCATCTCTGGTTTGGGCCTCCTGAGCCTGAAAACCCCGAGCACAAGCTGAAATGAGCCTTCAGGCCATTGCAGGAGGTGTTGTTCAAGATGCTAATTGTAGTGCCATTGACAGTACTAGCTATAATACTACTGCAAATAATTGCATAACGTGGTTATCAAGCACTGTATTAAACACAGTATGAAACAAGCTTTAGCATAAGCTGAGTGTGTTTTAGGAAAGTCACCTAAAATTTCATCAAAACGCAGCAGTCTTTGTACTAATTTTGCACAGCTATAACTCTTTTCTTAGCACGTGGGCCAATGTACACAAATGTGAAGTAAAGCACGTACCCTTGTGATTACCAGCATATATCTATACATACCTGACACAAACCTGTGCATAAAACATGTCTGTTAAATCTAGATTAGGAAATCAGCAATTAAGCTGTGTGAGCAAGGTAACATACAGCTGGAAGTGAAATAAATGCAGTTTAGATGTTACTTTGCAGCTCACAGTGTTTAAGCTAAATTCTCTTGTCAACTGACTCAAAAGCGCTGGAGTGAAGCCAGTAGGCTGCATTCACTCCTGCAAGTGTTAACAAATCGCTATGACAGTTTGTGTCCTTCCATGCTGGAGGGAGCACAGTAACCAGAAGAGGTCACCTGCCACTTCCTAGCTTAGAAGCCTCCCCACTGTGTGCACTGCATGAGCATTCTCCACAGGCTATTTTGGAAATGAAGCAAGGAAGACTGCCTCAGCAACACCTTCCTCATCTGTGGAACTGGAATGATCACCTGCAGCTTTCAATGAGAAAAGAAGTCGTAGGTGAGCCAGAAATAGTGATCCCAGTTCAGACCCATTTCTTGCTGCCTAGAAAACCAGTTAGGGTTCTGCTGGCAGCAGCTGATGAGTTTAGTCTAATTTGTCATCTCTGTGTTGGGAAAGAATAAGGAACCACATAAGAAAAAAGCACAGAAGTAAAGCACAATCCTAGCTCTACTGTGATAAATAGTGATGAGGCCATTCAGGATTCAATATTCATAAATTCTCAGTTTCTAACAAACTTTCACACAGATTTTATTAAGCGTTAACTGAATTCTTTGTAACTTTTTGCCTCGAGTCAGGAAAAGACTGATTCATAGTGTTTACAGATGCACCAAATGCTTTCAACTTTTGCCATATTTCAGCAGATAATATGAACTGCCTGAAAAAAAAAAAATATATATATATATACCGTCTATAAATCAGACTGCAGATCTGGAGGGGGCAGATGGTTCTATAGATATATCCACGGTGTTAGTGCCAACGCAATTTATTTACTTCATTACAGATTTAAGTAAAAGGGTAGGAATCCTGTTTCTTTTGTTTTATAAAGCATGGCAGCAAAGGGCATAGAGCCCTTAAAAAATGTAAAAGTTCATGAATACACAGTTTACTCAGTTGCTTGTGTTTGAAAGGTCATCAGTGCACCCTGTGAATTTCTTTTAAGCAAGGGCTGACTTGGTTAGCACACAAAAGACTGGCTGTTCAGTGCCAGCAAAACTGAACTCATGCAGGTCCTGTTCCCTTGAAGGAGATTAAGAAACAGCCTCCTCAGCTCAGTAATTCTGTGGGTAATCAAAATCCACCATGGGCTAAATATCCAGCACACTAAAAGATAATGCATATTTGTAAATACAGTTGTATTGAAGAGGTTAATACATTGGATAATAGAATACATAAATGTGGAAATAAAGGAGATACAGGAAGCAAGCAATATTTATAAAGATAATCATGAAATCTTTTCATTAGTCGGACATTTTTGGAACTTTCAGAAGTCCTAGGGGATAACAGTTGTAGTCTTTTAATATATAAATGATTCCTTTTTTTTTAATTTTTCTGAATGCTTCTTGCAATTATGATTGGATTTAGTTTTGTTTTCTGAATCACAAGTTATTTTCCAGATAACATTTGTTATTTACTTGTATATAACATGCCTTATTTTTCTTTTTATCAAAATAAAATCCAGAACCACAACAGTAGGCATAATAAATACATTCTTTCATTTTGACTACTGCTATTTTTTATCAACAAATGAAATTGAATATACTTTCAATATTAAAAGCAGTAGAATTGGTACCAATGCGTTATTTCAAATTCAGGATATTGATATTATTTGAAAAAAAAATATAGGGTTTGCTGGCCTATCTGTACTTCAAACCAGGGTGACATACTTCTCACAATGCAAACATAAGCTGTTTAGGAGACCGGCTTCGCAAAACTGGGGCTGATTTTTTACAGGACACAGCGCCACATACTGGTTTTGCGAAGTGATTTATTTCTCTTTAATGACTTGGTTTAAATTGATTTTACATCAAGCTGGCTGCACCTTTTACTCATAAGGTAATTACCAATAGTAATTTCTAACTGTATCAAAACAGAAAGGAGATAATATAAAATACTAATAATAATATAATTGTAGGACAATTATTAAGTTTATTATAATAAATAGCCCTGAAGTGCCATTCTTTACTGAGTTATCTCTGGTGTTGATTATGTTACATACCAAAAAGATTATAACTTCCAGTACAATTTTGGAACAATAATTTGAATAAGCACATTTATTTCCAAGAACATCTTCCATATCAGAATAAAATAAAATAAAAATTCTAAACAGAAAATTATTACCTTAACTCTTCACCTTGAAAACAAGTTGCTTGCTTGTTGAAGTCTGCATGGATTTACTGGGATGCGTTTCTTTAATTCAGTAGTACAACATCGTTTGAACTATATTGGGTTTTCAAAGAGCAGTAGCCCGTTTGTTTTCTTAGTGAATTCATAGGTAGGGATTCAAGAAAAGATTAAAGCTCATCTACACTTCACATTCAGTTCACTAGTATTCAGAACATACATGAGGAAGGTGATGTATCTGAGATATGTACATTAAGTTAGAGATAATATTAGATGTTTTAAATCTATTTTAACATTGCTCACAAAATTGGAAAGCTGTGGGAGTTGGCTGACCTACCTGTGATATTTTGATTGTGATTTTCTGCTAGGGGTGACTCACCAAAGAAACTACAGTAATAAGGATTCTGCTCAGTAATGGTCTTTAATTTGCTGTTAAGCTTTGAATCCAGCCTGTGTCTGCTACTGTTTACTGCTGCTCAAAGGAAGAATTTACCATGTAAAATGACTTCATTTTGAAAAATATTTCCACAAAATTGTTTCTTTCTGCAAGTGAAACAATGGAAGCTAGAACTGACATTGAAAGCTAAACGAATTTGTGCCAGAAATTATGCCTTCTGTGGTCAAATCCTGATGTTTTTGACCAGGAGGATGAACCAGATTCTCATATGGCTGCACATTCCTTCAGTGACGAAATGCAACTTAATTCCTATGCTAAGGACAGTTTAGTCACTCTTGAGATTTATTGTGCCCAGCTCTGGGCTCTCAAAGTTTAATTCTTTGCACATGGGATCCCTGAAGTCACACAGGTATCCCTGAAATAGATGACTTTCTGAAAATTACTTTGAGGAATAGGATTTTGCATACTTCTAACTTAGGCCTGTGAGCAAACTTCAGAATATATCCACCTATATCTCATATTGCTGATACTCCTTTCTCCTTGATGAAGAACTGTAGTCCTTTTAATAACACTGTCTGCCAGGAGAAAATCAATTTTTTGAGTCACTGTTTTCTCTTGTACAAGGGAAATCAGTGGTAGGTAGTACGAACTTTAGCAGTGGAGTTAGTCATGGTGAAGCAAAGGACAAAATAATGGTTTGCTGCTCCAAAATTTTGTCATTGCTGTTTAAAGCAAGAGTCAACAGATGCCTGTCTAAATACTGCTGGTGAAAAAAAAAAAAAAAAAAAAAAAAAAAGGAAAAAAAAAAAATCAGTGATTTTAAAATATGCTGTAACTTCATAACATATATGCATTTATAATGAGGTGTCTTGAGGAATACAGTGACATAGCTTGAGAGATTTTCATTCAGCACTCTTCCCAAACATGAAAAGAAACATAACAAAAAGCATAAAAGTGCTCATTTAAAAAGGATGAAAAATATATACTGACATCAACAGTTGTCCGTAAGGACAGGATTCTTCACTGCTGAATTAAAACAGTGGCATCTTAATGCAGTGCAAAAGAGGGGAAAAAAAAGAAATACAAAGGGAGATGACTAGGGAAACATCCTTTGCCCTGTTTGGACAAATGAAAATTTTCTATTCTTGTATCAGAAACATAGAAAAGAAGTCAGTATTTAGATGGAAAATGGTAACAGATAAGTGTTTGGATGCATGAATAAATGAGAAGAACTGAATATGAGAGACAC